ATTTATATATATATGTATGTATGTATATATGTATATGTATGTAATCACATGTATTTATATGTTCTTGTTTCATGTTTCTATAGGTACATGTATCTGTGTATAGTTCTTCATTTATATGCTCTCGGAGTATCGTTTTGGTTTAGAATCAGTATATATATATCTACTCGCAATGGCATAAAGGTTTGTTTTTTTATTGCATTATCGGCAGGAGCTATGGTTTTTCAAACACTCTACCTTCATGTTCCCATTTTATTAGGTCAAATATGAAGATTTTTGCCATAGCCGTATTCCGTAAAAAGGACAAGGAGTCCACCAATCTGGCTCAGAATGTAGACGTATCCTCGTTTGGATATTTCCAACGGGGGAGTGTACAAGAGTTTATCGAATTTTTCATGAAGACCGTTGCCAGCCGTACGGAAGCAGGGACCAGGTACGACGGATTTCTAGGAGTGTCGTCTAATCGTTTATGTGTAGTCTGTATCATGTTTCTCAATTCTCAATAAGTATACAACACGTACGTTATAAGAAATCTAGTTTTGCCTTTATGTTTGAATTTCTATAGTTCATGCGCTCGCAATTGTTTAATACATTTCCTATAGGGTGCGCAGATGTCCTTGAATCACCTCAACAACCTTTACGTAATAAATATTGTCAAGTCAAAATTGAAAACGTCTCCTGCCAATTGTGTTGGCGTGTCAGTCCGTGTATTATTTTTATTTAGTCACGATCATAATACCAATTGTTAATGTAATCAGTAAGGGCTTTGGTTGACGCGTCTATTCGTGTGGCTCACTCTTAGTGTAGATGGGTCAACCTCGCATGTGTATGATGGTGGCGGGCAAACAATATATCGAACACAGTTTTGTTCTCCAGGCTTGTAGTGCAAGTTTGTTCTAGATCTCGATTTTATCCTGGTATCTGTACATTAATGTGAATATTAATATGTACGGAAGTAGGTGGTATATGAAAATACATGCTTGTTCAACAATCTGTGGAGATACTTAACATATCATACAAGAGCTCTCTCGGTACGATCACAGATATAGACTCATTTCTAGATATATTATGCATTTGCAGGTTACTATATATACTCTCTGACAATTTATTTGAAAGTGTATGCTGGTGACGAACAGAGATTCTGATACATTCAAACAGGTGTTTGCCTCACGCACGTCATTCTTTGATTTACTCATATACGTCGCATATTTTGAAGCGAGTCTAATCTTAGCCAACCCCTAACCACGCAGAACATCAGTAGAAGAACAGAATTATGTGTGCCACTGTCAGTGTCGACTAGACAACCTCGAGTGTGTAGTGGTCGCCGACAAAGAATATCCCAGCCGGGTGGCTTTCGGCCTTATTGCACAGATCATGGACGACTTCAGCAAACAGTACCCTAAGAGTGTCTGGGTCAGTGCAAAGCCAGCTGGTATGTGGTTATTATATTATTTTATTTGATCTGTTTCGTTCTATCAATTCA